AATTAGTACTTAAGCAATCATACTAGAGTACAATGCAACTGAGAAGATATTGCTGATAGTTGCAAGAGTTATACTAGTTAGGCAACTGAGAGACCATACGTGTTGTTTAATCTTATCTCACACATGCAATCTCTTCTCCTTTGTGCAGCATCAATCAGCGGCATCGAATGAGCCTCATGACCCAGCTCTGTCGCAGTGGAACTCATAGCCTAGGTGACTACTTGTGATTTTATTTGTATTTGCATTTGTGGATTACCTATGACTACTTGTGGTTGTGAATGAACCTACTTGTGATTCTGAAGTTTATTTGCATTTATGTGTTGTCGATATATCTATATGAACTGTCTGTGATGCCTATTATGAACTATCTGTGATGGATGTGATGTTTATTTGAATATGGTACGTGGCTGTGATCGAACCTAATAAACTGATTATTTGTGGCAGCTTTGCCGAGTGTAACACTCGGCAAAGAGGCTTTTTGCCGAGTGCCAGGGTAAAAACACTCGGCAAAGTGTACACGTGGCAAAATTCTGTGCATTCTGGGACTAAAATGGCTTCTTTGCCTAGTGTCTGCGCTATGACACTCGGCAAAGATGCCAAAATTCTATGTATTCTGGGACGTGTTTGCGGAGTGCCTAGTATTCGACACTCGGCAAAGGACGAAGGTTTGCCGAGTGCCTCGAATGTGACACACGGCAAAGGTGGAAGCTTTGCCGAGTGCCTGGAATGTGACACACGGCAAAGGAGGAAGTCTTTGCCGAGTGCCTGGACTGTGACACATGGCAAAGAAGCAAAGTTTGTCAAGTGCCCGAGATTTGACACTCGGCAAACGCGCCGTGACCGTCTCCGCTTCGTCACGTTACTTTTTTTCGCCGAGCGTCGGTTTTAACTCTCGGCAAAGTCTTTGCCGAGCGCCCAATAGAAAACACTCGACAAAGAGCCGTTTGCCGGCACTGTAGATGCCGTGTGCTGTTTGCCGAGTGTTTTTTGGGCTTTGCCGAGTGCTTGTGACACTCGGCAAAGCGACTGTTTCCGGTAGTGGGGGCAGGCCAGTTTGAGAACCGGCCTTGGCCGATTTTACTGCTCGACCACAAGCGCACAGTGAAAACCGCCCTGAGCCAGTTTTGCTAGGCTTGCCCCCTTTTCTTCTTTGGCTGTGGTCCCTTTTGGATATGAAAATTTCATCTACTGGCCCTGGGGGACCTGTTCAGTGTACCTGCATCTACGATGTCATATTACAGACGCGTCTCAATTCCACATCACCGATCCTTGTGCAGTTTTGGTTTGGCGGTAATCTAAAATCAATGGCTTCATGCCTTCATCAACGCTTGTTGTCGTAAGATTACTTATCCTATCATGGCGATTCAGGAACTGTATTTTGCTTTGCTAGCCGCTTACAGAACATATTGAGCTGTAGGGTAGATTGTTGTAGGATCTTGATCATGTCTCATCCACTTCTATGTCCTGCTCTGTATATTGATGGCGTCATTATTTTCGTCATTAATGGTCAATGGCCATTTTTTATGTTGTTTGTCTAGTACATCCTTTTTTATTATCTGTAGTCATTTATGCTTGTCTCGATCTTCATCCCTGCTATGTTTTGTAAATTCATTAGCTTTGACTTCAGTTCTCACAAAATTAGCAATTGTATACCCCTGCTCCTTGGAACATGGGGTACATAAATTTGTGAGGTAGTAGCAGTATCCATGTTGAGGTTTCAGTTTTGCCTTTGGTCGATCCTTGCCTTCATTTTTTTGTAAAACCATTAACGTGTAAACTGCTTAAATAGATACAATAACTAGATCAATTGGTGAAAATTTCTAGTGCACTTTTTATCATCTTCTGTAGCTGGTTTAATTTAGGATATTCATACTGGTTGGATTATTTAGGAATCTGTCTATCCCATAACCGGGCGTTTCTTCTCATTCCAACACCCGATTTTTTTTTACAACCACACGATGGAGATCCAGCGGTCGTGGTGCTTTCTTCTACCTCCAGCCGCCACCACAGAGCTCGCCACCGCCGCCACCCACTGCCCTGCCGCGCCTGCGGCAGCCTCCCTCTTCCCCTCCTCCCGTCTCCTACCGCCGCTTCTTCTCCAACTCCGGCGAATGGCCGCGCTCCCCCGCCCTGACCTGGCCCAGCCGCCGCGACCGCCACCAGCTCCCCTAAACCGCCCGGCCACCATCCCCACCGCCTGGCCTACCTACCTCCCCCAGCCGGGCCCTTCTATACCCGCCGGAGTTGGAGAAGAAAGAGGGGCAGAGCTCGCCGGAATCCTAGCCGCCGTGGCCGTCGTCTTCGTCTCCGGTGGAGGAGGAGGAGTAGGAGGAGGAGGAGGATGCCTACCTCGTTGGCACCCGCGAGCTCGGCCGCCGCCGCCGCCGCCGGAGAGGAGGGAGGAAGGAGCCGCGGGCATGGGAGCAGGTTGAGCGCGGGCGGGCGAAAAATCGTGTGTTGGACAGGCGTAAAACACGCAAGTGTCATATAGCTTTTCCATTATTTAGTAATTCTAGGATGTAACTAGTGGGTATCTACTTTGCCATATTAGCAATGTTTGGACCTTATATTTACCAATTTGCTAAGTTGTAATGCTTATTTGAGCAATTTACAAATTGTTGGACCAATATGCATCCACCTGTCCAGTTATTATATGGTAGGCACAATTTACTCAGCCAAAGTAAACCATAATTTGGAAAGAAGAGGGATAGGATAGTAATTAAGTCCTGCCGGGAAAACACTCTCTGCATGGGTGATGCTGAAATTTCTCGTGCAGAGAATTTTGTTTTCCACCATCATCCCATTCTAAGATTTCGTAGCTAGTTTTCAATTTTTTCATTTGAGAATTGTATGGTGTCAAATAAAATACTTTTTATATCTAAGTTGTAGCTATCGATGGGATATACAATTTTCTAGTTTTGAGTTTTTACGGGCCTAGTAAAAACTATCTTCATTTGAGACCATACGAGAAAGACATAATTTTCGTGAGGCGACAAGCCACGGCATACGATTAATATGTTGTTGAAACTTTATATTATTTTTTTTCAGCATCTTAACGACCTCAAATGTAAAAACTCAAAACTATAAAGTTGTAGATCTCATTGAATACTACAACTTTGATGTAAAAAGTATCTTCATTTGACATGATATAAAAAAGATATTATTTTTCTAACGTGACAAGCACTAGTATGCAATTATTATGCTGCTGAAATTTTATATTATTTTTTCGAACATTTAAAAGACCTCAAATGAAAACTCAAAACTAGAAAGTTGTTAATCTCATCGAGATATATACATTTTTTATATAAAAATCATCTTCATCTGATGTCATATCGAAAAAATATGTTTTTTTTCTAAAGTTGAGTCTTGTCACACTATTCCTGTTGCCACGACAAAACAATATTGACAAGATCTTGCACATGAAAATTATCATCCAACATGGCAGATCTTGCCACGCCATCGCATGTGCACGACAGTGTGATTTTGTCGCGCAAGGCACGTTGGAGCTACCAAAAGGGTTAAAAATAAAACAGCTGACGTCCTACACGGCGAAGAGATACAACTAAAAAACAGCCCTATCCCGTGACCTAGCGAGAGCCGCCGCCGTCCCCGCCTCCAACACCGCTGGTCCCCCTCCCTTCCCCCTCCAGCATCTCGCTAGAGACCAGAGGGATTAGTGATCCATTGTTTTAATATGTTTTCTAGTAGATTGAATCCTTTAGAGTTAGGGTCTCTCCTTGCCAAGTTTCATGGTATTGAGGATTTATCTCCTCTCCTCCTTCCCGGCGACGGCGAGGGAGAGTATAATGGATCTGTTTTCTCCATTGTAGCTCTGTTGAAGATGAGGGCGACAACTACAGTGTCAGCAACTTACTCGGCATGACGACATGGAGACTTAGTTTTTCGAACGGCTACATCAAGGCGGATATGATGTCGCCGCCATGGAATAATTTTCTCCGGTCTCTTCTCCATTTTGCTGTGGTTAGATCTGACCACGGTGAAGGACCAGGGAGAATAAATTTCAAATCAGTCTTCCTTATTCTTTGGTGGCAGAAAGAAGAACAAGGAAACCATAAGAAAGAAGAAGTTTCTCAACTCCGCCTACAGGAATGTTGGCCGCCATTCATTGGGCATATGTTCTCAGACCTTTTGCCGAGTGTTTGCCTGTGCAGTCATCCATATGAAGCGTCATACAGGTTTGGATTTAAGATTTGAAGCTATACAAAGCTTTGATAAAATATAGATCAAGATCAATTTATGGATATACGTAGTGTATTTCAAAGTGCTTGTAACGTGATGATGTACTCAGTTATTATCTAATATAATTCTTCTTTCGTCTAAAAAAATGGTTAAAAATAAAAATATAAACTAGGTGAGGCTATTTTTGAAATAATAAAAGTAAAAAATCCACGGCAGGTGACGTGGCCAAATATCGTCCCACAAGAGATGCACGGATCACATCTGCGCCAGGTGAAGGTGACGCTGTATGGCCTTTTCCATCCATCGTCTGAAAGCTTATATCTTTCCGTGTTTCCGAACTCCGATCCGCTTCCCGGAGCGTCGTGTTCTTCCCGTCGTCACTCCCCACCTTCAGCTTCGACAACACGGAGCAGAGCTGAGTCGAGCTAGTGGCATTCATGTCTGCAAAAGGGCCCGGCCCTCATGTCATGTTAGGTGATAATCACTGTCATTAATTCTCATAAGCTAGTGGCGTGAGCAAACAAAAAGGTAACCCGGTGCTAATCATGTTACCCTACCACCAAATCGCATGGCTTTGTATGATTGTCCTCTTCCACAGGACCATGTTCATATGCTTCTTTGCAAGGTGCAAACACTTTGATTTGATCCCCTTTACTTTCCTGATGCAACAATAAGCATCCCAAATAATTCTCCAGCATCCGAGCTGACAAGATGACAGTGACACACACTGGGATCAGAATCAGATATATTCAACCGCCGCTATCTCAGTCGTCCTCATCAACAAGCCAAGAAACCAAAACATGGGCACCACGGAGCACCATGGCGCCGCCGATGCCATCGCCGAGCCACTGCTCCCCTCGTCCACCGTGGAGGTGGAGCCAGCCCCGCCACGCCGGAACATGTTCGCCTTCGTCTGCGCCACGCTCGCCTCCATGACCACAATCCTCATGGGCTACAGTACGTGTCCACTCGTCAGTCGTCACTGCTACTCTCGTCTCGTACGTGCTTCATCATCGTTCATGACACTGACATCCAGCGGCCCATGCTTCTTCTCTTCCTTCCCACCTGCAGATCTCGCGCTGATGAGCGGCGCGGAGCTGTTCATGCGCGACGACCTGGGGCTCACGGACGAGCAGGTGGAGGTGCTGTCCGGGTCCATGAACATGTTCATGCTGGCCTCCATCCTGGCCGCCGGCTGGGCCGCGGACGCCATCGGCCGCCGTGGCACCGTCGTGATCGCCAACGCGTTCCTCATGGCGGGCGCGCTCGCCATGTCGCTCGGCGGCAGCTTCGCCTCGCTGATGGCCGCGCGGTTCGTCACCAGCGTCGGCGTCGGGTTCGCGGTCGTGGTCGCGCCGGTCTACGCGGCCGAGATCGCGCCGGCGTCGTCGCGCGGCCTCCTCTCCTCCCTCGTCGACTTCTTCATCACCGCGGGTATCCTCCTCAGCTACGTCTCCAACTACGCGCTCGCCGGCCTGCCGCTGCGGCTCGGCTGGCGCGCCATGTTCGCGCTGGGCGTCCCGCCGCCGCTGCTCCTCGCGGCGGGGGTGCTCGCCATGCCGGAGTCGCCCCGGTGGCTCGCCATGCGCGGGCGCGACGACGAGGCGCGCGCCGTGCTGGAGCGCACCTCCGACGCGCCGGCCGAGGCCCGCGACCGGCTCGAGGAGATCAGGCGTGCCGTCGCGGCGCAGGTGGGCGGCGCCGGGGTGTGGAGGGAGCTGTTCGTGCGGCCGTCGCCGATGGTGCGGCGGATCCTCGCCAACGTCCTCGTGCTCTACTCCTTCCAGCAGGCCTCCGGCATCGACGCCATCGTCCTCTACACCCCGCTGGTGTTCAAGAAGGCGGGGATCTCGTCGACCAGTGCCGTCCTCGCCGCCACCGTCGCCGTCGGACTGGTCAAGACGCTCTCCATCTTCGTGGCCACGTTCCTGTCCGACCGCCTCGGCCGCCGCCCGCTGCTCCTCGCCAGCGCCGCCGGCATTGCCGTCACGCTCACGTCGCTGGGGATCGCGCTGCTGTGCGCCGGCGCCGGCGCCAGCGAGACGACACCGACACCAGCGGTGGCGGCGGCGTGCGTCGCGTCGGTGCTCGCGTTCGTCACCGCGTTCTCCATCGGCCTCGGCCCGCTGGCGCCGACCTACAGCGCGGAGATCCTGCCGCTGCAGCTGCGCGCGCAGGGCATGAGCCTCGGCATCGCGGCCAACCGGGTCACGTGCAGCATCATCAGCATGACGTTCATCTCGCTTGCCAACAGCATCACCATGCCCGGGTGCTTCTTCCTGTATGCCAGCACGGCGGTGGCAGCGGCGGTGTTCGTCTACGTGCGGCTGCCGGAGACCAAAGGCCGGAGCTTGGAGGACATAGGCGTTCTCTTCGCCAAGTGATTACAAGGATTGTGCTACTGCATCGGCCTGTTCATGTCTAATTTCCTTTAATTTTCAGATATATGTCGTCTCTGGATGCAATAACTTCATTCTTCATATTTTCGAAACGGTGTTATCGCCGTTGCCAATAGCCACTACTGCAACACCTTTACCATCAGACTATCAGATCTGTGTTGCAGTTGCAGTGCACCTGGTCATATTCATGTTTTGTCAAGTTCATAAATCATAATCCAACCAATAGGCTTCAACATGCATGCTTTTAAATAATTGATAACTTTTACATAAGATAAGATACTAATGATTGTGATGTGATTGCGGCTGGCAAAAAGGGCTTCCACTAGTGAATGGAAATTTCAGAGAAGTGTTGTTCAAAACTTTTAAATTTTATTTTGAATTTAGAATTCTTATAGGCTAAGAAATAAAAAAGATTGCACGGACTGAGCATAGCTCCGTTTTCTTTAATAACAGTGAAGCAATTGAAAAGAGAGCCACGTTCATTTGTTTGTTTAGCTTGAAGTATCTAAGTGTGTGTTTGGTAGGTATCCAGATTCTCGTAGAAACATCTCAGTTCCAGATTCTCTCAAGAAACGTTTCTGATGATGAATCAGAATCATTTCGTGAAACCGTTTGGCTGTGAGGCTAAATTCCAATTCAATAAAAATGTTTTTTTTATAAAGAAATTCGTATAAATGAAAATATGTTTCAAAAAATATCAGAACTTTTTATGTGTGTAGAAGAACTTAAATATAATTCATTTTAACTTGTTGCACTTTAAAAAGGTTAACTAAAAAATATGATTGTTAAGCATAGAGGAAAGACAAGAAACGGAATCATGTGAAACTGGGTTTTGGGCGTTTCACCTGCGTAGGCAAAAATGGTGAATTGGTTCCAGGCGATTCTAGGCAAGAAATGAATCTGGAAACATCGTTTGGCACAGATTCTGCTGTTTCACGGGAGAAACGGAAACGTTCCGCACATCCAAACGTACCCTAAGTCTTTGTTTGGATCTCATCAACGAAATAAGAATGAGGTGGGAAAATTATCAAAAAATAGAATGAGGTGGGAAAAACAGAATGAGATCCGGTCGTTTGAATTCTAGAATCCAACTATCTACCACAAACACTATGTCGGTGTTTCGGAACCGGGGGTCCTTAACCGACTAGTGAATTTGTGCTGCGTGCTCCCACTTTCGGATGGTGATGCAAAGAGACACAAGGTTTATACTGGTTCGGGCAATGGATGCCCTACGTCCAGTCTGAGAAGATGTTCTTGTATTCCTTGCACCGCGGTGCTCGTAGTAGGGGGTTACAAGCTAGGCGAGAGAGGGAGTTCGTCCCAGGTCTCTGTGAGAGGAGGAGATATGAATTACAGAATGAGGCGTGTTGTTCATGCGAGTATTCGTGACTCTCTCCGCCGTCCCTAGAAACGGTCCTGGCCGCCTCCTTTTATAGCCGCAGGGAGGAAACCAGGAGTACATAAGAGAGCTACACGTGGAGCGGACTATTCGATGACGTATTTACTCCTGGAGCAGCATGGCGTTGTCGTGGGAGTTCCCGTAGATGTCTAATCGGTATGGTCTCCACTGCAGGTAACATGCTGCGCATTTGTTGACTTGGTGGATTGCAGAGGCTCGACGGCCATCGTAGCCGGTCGTGCCAAGGCCTGTTGTGCCGAGGCCTGCCGTGCCGAGGCCTGAGAAGTGACCCAAGTGCAAATGCGGGTCTCAGCGGCCATCAGGCGGAATAGTGCGAGACGTGCGCCTACAGGATACGGTACCTGTATTGTCAGTAAGGGATGGTAAAAAAGGTGGTCTGACCGTTGTCCCGTCGCTCCTGTTGCAGCGCACTGCCGATCGTGGCTTACGTAGCGGGTGCAGCTGAGCGCATTAATCGGATGCGACAGCCTGCCAGAGAGACCTTTGAGGCGGAGGCGACGAGGTTGCGGGACGAGCCCGGCCTCGGGCGAGGCGGAGCGCGGCCAATTCGTCCGAGGCCCTACCGGGGGGGTCTCGGGCGAGGCGGATGGGCGAGGCGGAGTAAGATCAGTGAATTTGAGGCCCTGTCGAGGGGGCTCGGGCGAGCCAGAGCGGTCGGTTTGCTGATTCTGAGGCTATAGGAACCCGTTCTGACAACCCACGTTGCGATGTCCTTGGTGCAGGAGTTAGGCAGCACAGTGGTCGGTAACCCCTGCTCTGTGCCGTCGCAGATGGTAGGAGGTTGACACGACTGGCGTGTAGTCGGTCACTTCGCTGTACTGTGCCATCGTGCGTCTGTCGGATTGGTTGGGCGCTTGGATGCGACGTTCAGTTAGAGCAGTTTGGTCGAAGAGGCGGTCACGGGGCTGGTGCCGAGCCGGCCTCGCGCGAATCGGAGAATCGGCACTTCCACTGGGGCTCGGCGACGGGGTCTCGGGCGAATCAGAGATTTCGGCCGAGACCTCATTTGTTTATTCCGTTGGTTCTGTTCTTAGGGTCTAAGCAGTTTTTCGATCTTTGCTTGGGGTACCCCATTTCTGGTATCCGACAGTAGCCCCCGAGCCTCGGGCGGGAGTGTGGGATACTCTCCCCGAGGTTTTTTCGAGACATTTGTTTTTCAGTGGCTCTTGTCGGGTTTGTTTTATACTCGCGATTCTAGTGGGTGCGCGCGAGCGCACCCGCCGGGTGTAGCCCCCGAGGCCTTAGAGGAGTGAGTTTACTCCTTTAGGGGCTTTTTCTTCGTTGAGTAAGGCGCTCTATCGCATTTGCTAGACCCATGAGAGCGAGCTCGGGTCGCTTGTTTTTGTTTGGGGTGCAGGAGGAGCCCCCGAGCCTGCCGAGCCCTCGCGTGCGATCCTAGGTCGCTGGGTCTCGGCAAGGTTTGCAGGAAGAGCCCCCGAGCCTCCGCACGGAGCGAGAGGGCGGTCAGGAGTTCTCCTGGCTTTTTGTACGACCCTCGCGCATCCTTTTCGTTTGGAAGGAGGGGTTGTTTGCCGAGCCCTTCGTGTGCGAGCCTAGGCCACTGGGTCTCGGCAAGGTTGCAGGAAGAGCCCCCCGAGCCTCCGCACGTAGCGAGAGGGCGATCAGGAGTTCCCCTGGCTTTTTCTACGACCCTCGCGCATCCTTTTTGTTCGGAAGGAGGGTTGTTTGCCGAGCCCTTCGTGTGCGAGCCTAGGCGGCTGGTCTCGGCAAGGTTGCGGGAAGAGCCCCGAGCCTCCGCGCGTGGCGAGAGGGCGATCGGGAGTTCCCTAGCTTTTCTCTACGACCCTCGCGCATCCTTTTCGCTCGGAAGGAGGGGTTGTTTGCCGAGCCCTTCGTAATGCGAGCCTAGGCACTGGGTCTTGGCAAGGTTGCGAGGAAGAGCCCCGAGCCTCCGCGACGTGGCGAGAGTGCGATCGGGAGTTCTCCTATCTTTTGTACGACCCTCGCGCATCCTTTTCGTTCGGAAGAAGGGGTTGTTTGCCGAGCCCTTCGTGTGCGAGCCTAGGCCGCTGGGTCTTGGCAAGGTTGTAGGAAGAGCCCCCGAGCCTCCGCACGTAGCGAGAGGGCGATCAGGAGTTCCCCTGGCTTTTTGTACGACCCTCGCGCATCCTTTTCGTTCGGAAGGAGGGGTTGTTTGCCGAGCCCTTCGCGTGCGAGCCTAGGCACTGGTCTCGGCAAGGTTGCGGAAGAGCCCCGAGCCTCCGCCGCGAAGCGAGAGGGTGATCGAGAGTCCCCGGCTTTTGTATGCGACCCTCGCGCTTCCTTTTCGCTCGGAAGGAGGGGTGGAACATGCCAGGCTACCCTCGGTGGGCGCGAGCGGTGACATTTCCGGTGAGCTTTTATCGGGTAAGTCCGAGTGGAGGCCCGTGCCCCATTCGATAGGGGTCAGCTAGTGGTCCAGAGACGCGCTCCAAAAAAGTACCAGAAGGCTTCTCTAGCGGGTGCCAGGGCCGTTCGATTGGCCCTAGGGGCTCGGTGCCTCCCTACGGTGGGATCCCCTTTAGAGAAGTCCTGCTGGTCTTGGACACGACTTAGGGCATCCCAAGCAATCGCTTGCCTGGGCCTCGGCCGTGTACGGGCTCGCCCATAGTTGTCCCTGACTCTGTTGTCCTAGGGCGGCTGTCGAGGCCCTAGATCGCCCAGCCTTCGTACCCCTGGATCGTAATGGGCTTGGTGCCATTTTTCGTCGTGTTTTTCCGACCCTCGGGGTGTGAGAGGTTGCAGGAAGAGCCCCCGAGCCTCCGCACGTAGCGAGAGGGCGATCAGGAGTTCCCCTGGCTTTTTGTATGACCCTCGCGCATCCTTTTTGCTCGGAAGGAGGGGTTGTTTGCTGAGCCCTTCGCGTGCGAGCCTAGGTCACTGGGTCTTGGCAAGGTTGCAGGAAGAGCCCCCGAGCCTCCGCACGTAGCGAGAGGGCGATCAGGAGTTCCCCTGGCTTTTTGTACGACCCTAGAGCATCCTTTTCGCTCGGAAGGAGGGGTTGTTTGCCGAGCCCTTCGCTTGCGAGCCTAGTTCGCTGGGTCTCGGCAAGGTTGCAGGAAGAGCCCCCGAGCCTCCACACGTAGCGAGAGGGCGATCAGGAGTCCCCCTAGCTTTTTGTACGACCCTCGCGCATCCTTTTCGCTCGGAAGGAGGGGTTGTTTGCCGAGCCCTTCGTGTGCGAGCCAGGTCAGCCAGGTCTCGGCAAGGTTGCGGAAGAGCCCCGAGCCTCCGCTTGGAGCGCGAGAGGCGATCGAGGAGTTCCCCAGCTTTTTGTAATGACCCTCGCACATCCTTTTCGCTCGGAAGGAGGGGTGGAACATGCCAGTCTACCCTCGGTGGGCGCGAGCGGTGACATTTTTGGTGAGCTTTTATCGGGTAAGTCCGAGTGGAGGCCAGTGCTCCATTCGATAGGGGTCGGCTAGTGGTCCAGAGACGTGCTCAAAAAAAGTACCAGAAGGCTTCTCTAGCGGGTGCCAGGGCCGTTTGATTAGCCCTAGGGGCTCGGTGCCTCCCTACGGTGGGATCCCCTTTAGAGAACTCCTGCTGGTCTCGGACACGACTT